AGTGTGAATGTTTGACCTAACAGGAGTGTGAACGTTTAATAATGTCTCCAAAACAACAGCAGAAGTATGTTGAAGATCCAAATTCAGTTCCAAGACTGGAAAGAAAAGGGGGAAATAGCCGCCAAGGAAAATCACTGAACAAAATATGGCGATTACCAATTCTGTGCGGATCAGTTTCGAAGGCAGGGCTGCCCTGGAGTGTTCGCTCCCTCTTGTTTGGACTCAGTGGGAGAGGCCTAGCACATCTCAGGGAATGCAGGAGATCCAGGCTTGGCTGGACCATGATCAGCTCACTCCTACAGCCAGTGTCTCAATAGGGATAAATACAATAATTTTGAGATTTTTTACCCTTGACATGTTTTCGAATGTCTCTCAGCCAAGCCTGTGAAATAGTATATTCTGAGCTATATCAATATAATTTTTAATTTATTTTCAGGTATTTAAATTATATGAATATGGTGGAAGAAGTCTGAAGAAATTTTTTACCCAGGCAATAATCATTCTTCTAATAAACCTACTCACGCAACAATTTATCAACTGAAAAATTGGTATAAATCAAAGTTTCAAATCCCAAAATACAACTGATTCATATTAAAAGTTTTTTTTTTTTTAAACGGTCAACTTCATGCTGAAGAGGTAAGAAGAAATAATTCACATGGCAATTTTCATTTGATGCCTTGAGTGTACTTTTCAAGGGGCTCAGTGTCTGCAAAGTGTCAACCGTCGCTTGTACTTGAAGAGAACTCATGCATCGTCTTGACACGTCCTTTTACACGGTGAGTCTCACGTCAAATGAGCAGGAGCTTTGCTACCCCTTACCTGTATTTTTTATTAAAAAACAGTAAAAAGCTTTTTCAAGGCTGACTGATTTTAGACTAAGATTTATATTCTAGAATCTTAATTGAGATGATCATTCGGTTCTTGTTCACTTTTCTAAATGCAAACTTGATGTCTGTTTTCTCCCAGCTTGTTTCCAAAATCAGAATCTATCTGATGCCACATAAAAGGAAGCATTTGCCAGGAGAGTTTTCTTAATTGCTCTAAATTGCAGTGTTTTGAGGATGAGTAGAATACCGGCCATTTGGTACTCGTTTAGCACTCCAGCCTAAGCTCCATGCTAAAAAACAAGGTTGATTAACTGATAACTTTTACTATTAGATGGGAAAGAATTTTAATTTTTAAATCTGTTATTTAAATTATTTTATTATAGTAAAAATATATCTTATATTGTATACTTATAATAAATTTATATATGTAATACACTTATTACATATAAATAATACATTTAAATAAAATATAATTTAAAATATAAAACATTTTATTAATATCTAATAAAATTATTTATTAAATACTTAATTCGATTATTTAATAATCTAAACTTTAATATAATCCCCCCTTAGGTCTAGGACAACATCAGAATGAGCTTTGACACGCCTGAGCAGAGGCAGTGCTCCTCGTGCACATGGAGACTTCCTGGCACACCCTCTGGTTTCTTTGCATCTCTCCTGGTCTGCGATGGATGAACTCCAAGACAGTTGTCCACCTCCACCATATGCATCCAAAACAGCGAGATGATGGGAGGCTATATTTCTAAGATTTCTGAGGAGATTTCAGAGGCCATCAGTGCCTATAAGGACAACCTGTGTACGTGTGTAAGGAAAGGATGGGGGAGGATGCAAGTGTGATGTCGACAGTGGCTTCCAGGCCTGGCTGCTATCAGAATTGCCCAGAGGGCCTTGGGAAACACTCATCCATTGACCTACCCTGGGTGAACAGAATGAGACTCTGGGATGAGCCTTCTTGCCTCACTCTGGGCTAAAGTTTGTGTTTTATTTTTCCTAATAACATTATTGTATTAAACATCTACTAGTGCGTATGAAAGAAGTTCCTTTTATGTCAACATCTAGTTGAAGGTCTGAGATCTGAGATTTCACTTAACTTCCTTTCACAATTTCCCGATCTTTTTCTATAAGCAACTATTTCTTTGTGTTATAACTTTTGTTGACAATTTTTTTCATTGGTATATTCTGATTGAGTTTATGTTGTGGCATTTAAAAATTTTATTTCTTGGGGACCAGCCCTGTGGCCAGTGGTTAAATTCACACGCTCTGCTTCAGTGGCCCAGGGTTTTGCTGGTTCGGATCCTGGGCACAGACATTGCACCGCTTAACAGGCCATGTTGAAGCAGCGTCCCACATGCCACAACTAAAAGGACCTACAACTAAAAAGTATACTTACTGGAGGGATTTGAGGAGAAAAAAGCAAAAAAAAAAAAAAAAAAAAGGAAGATTGGCAACAGTTGTTAGCTCAGGTGCCAATCTTTAAAAAAAAATTTTTATTCCATAATTGCTGTAGCACATTTATCAAAGGAGGAATTTTGCTCCCTAATTTACATTAAGAAGAGATGTGAATTAAAAATTTATCAATATTTCTTCCCATTAAAAAACTTAAGTGACAATTTAGTGTTTATCATTAAAATATGAAACAGAATATCTGTACTCATCTTGTTTCACAGCTTATTCCATTCACAATTTTTATTCTTTTCTCTCTATTATAAAAAATTTTGGTTTCCACATGTAACTCAAATCATGGGCTGAAAAACGGAGCTTTATTCTCTGAACAATTTCAGAGCTCTCTGCTTGACTTTTTAGAGCATTTTACATGAATATACCTTCTAGAACTGTAATAATAGCTAAAATTTATGAGCAATTCCTACGTGCCAAGAACAGTGCTAAATGCTTGATCTAAATTATCCTATTTTTATCACCGTTTCACAAATAAGGACCTGAAGATTGGGAGTTTAAGTAACTGCCTAAATAATAGAGCTAGCTTGTAAATCTCGGAGCCTGTGAGGTTGAAAGCAACTTCTAGAAACAGACATTCACAAGTCCTTTAAGACACTAGCAGGCAATGGACTGAAGTGTGCAATATTTAGCACTGATTTATTCATTAATATAATTTTTTATTGAACACAGAATTAAAATTAATGTAAGTGAGGTGTGCAGGGTCCTAGAAAGACTCAGTATTACATAGTCACATGTCCACTGATACCTTAGACCATACCTCATGCATTTATTCCCTTTGGGAAGGGACTAAATTAAAAGTCACACATTTGAATAATGCTTCTTACAGTAAACTACCTGTTACCTAGTAAGTTCATATGTGTCTGTTACATTCGTTTATGATCCTATCTTCTTAAATGAACAGTCAGGAGAAAGATTCATACATACTTTTGGACAATCTTGTTTAAATCATTTTCTTGGAGGGGAATGGAGAAATTTAGCTGCAATTAAAATATCCAGTCAGCAGAACCATTTGGGTTGCATGATTCACCCCACTTTACTTTGAAGACATATCTAAGAAACAGCAGTAACTTCTCCCTGCCATGCCACTTTTTCCATGTTGAGTATTTGTTGAGTTATATAGCATTCTTCTTGGAAAGTTTTTCTCAGGACTCTCATACTGAGTTCTAAACTCCTGATAAGTTTAAAACAAAGATTACTTAAGGTCTGCCCTGGTAAAACAGAGGCATACAATAAAAAACGGATTCCATCTCAAAGTAGTGGAGAGCACAGGAAAGGCTGGAGAGAAACTGCATTAAGTGAGGCGTGAGGAAAAGCTATTTCAGCCCCCTTGACTCGAGGGCAGCACACATCTGCATTCAGAATAAAAGATTTCTTCAGGCTTAAAGATTTTTAACAATAGCAGCTGATGATCAGTGAAGGAAAGAAGCGTGCTCTAATGATTTTTTGGACCAGATCAACTTGACCTTTCATTTTTCACAAAGTCTTCCAATAAACGCCATGTACTCCATTTTTCTCTCCCAGCATCCCTAACAATAATTTTGATTCTTGTGATTCAAATGGCTTTCTGAAATGCTCTTATGAGGAGTAGAAGGGGAGAGGGAACGATGTTTCTCAATGAGTGACAGAAAAATTCAAAGGCCGCAAAAAAAGTAATAAAAGAAAAGTGATGTGATCATTTAAAAATCTAATGCCAGTCCACGTTTCTGGTCATTAAACACGAATATAGTGGCTGCCTGTATGTGATTTTTTTTCTCATCAAATACAGCATGTTTTCTTCTAAGCTAGACATCACATCTTCCAACAGTTTTTGCTACTTTAACAAGTATAATAATTCTGTCAGATTCATATGCAAGCCATTTTTAAATGCACAGCAAATTGTTATATTAAATAAATTGTTATATTAAAATAAATTAACATCAACCTTAATGTTGAACATGTGAAAGTCCCTTAATAAGACATTTTAATATATCAGCCAAAGGATTATTTGATAGATCGGTAAAAACAACTCTGCTGATTCTTGATTAGCTAAACGTTGAAAATAGTGCACGTGTATTCTTGTCAATAATACGCTATTATTAGATTATGTGTGGTGACAGAATGAAACCATGAGAGGAGACACTTGATCAGCTCCAAGGTTCCTCAGCTTTGTGTTCAGAGAAGCAGCCAGTGTGAGTGGAGTGGAGAAATAAAAGTGAAATGAGAGAAAAAGAGAAAAGGTGGTACAGATCTTGGAGACAGATGTAGAGAAAAGGGGGGACGAAATACTGAGTAGAGTAGATTGAAAGGGAACAGTAGAAAAATGAGTAGACAGACTGGAAATAATGAAGCTGTGGGTCAGGGGCACTTTTAAAACCAATCCAAGCATATCTTTACATGACAAGAATATAGATAATCACTGTGTGCCTTCTGGGCTTTTATAGAGGATATAGGATTTCATATACATCCATTAGCTGAATTTCTGAGGTCACAAAACCTAGGGAGCATTTTAATTAAGTCTTTATAAAAAGTAGATAGAAATATTGCTGAGGAAATGATGCATCCAATGATTGAATATGTGGTTAAATGACTGAAAATACCATCTCATAGGATCTGGTTAATTTGAATTAAAAGTCAATTAGAAAATTGAAAAAAATTAAAAAAATAAAAATAAAGATAAAGAAAACTGAGATTTAAAACATTTAGACATACACTCACCCGACAGACAGGAAAGGTTCCTTTGATTCAAGTCTAGGAAAAAAATATGAAGAATTTATTTTAATATAACAATTTGCTGTGCATTTAAAAATGGCTTGCATATGAATCTGACAGAATTATTATACTTGTTTGGATGAAAATGCACAATTTAGCATCAGTAAAAAGCTGTAAATAATATATGAAGAGCTACCCTGGACTGCTTCAAATACTGGCAGGATTAATGCAGAGGCCAAATAGAATGAGAGAGACCTAGAATGGAAATGCAGCGTTTAAATGACACCTGAAGATAACAATATTGTTAGTCTAATTCCGATTTGCACTCTCTATATCTACTTCTTTTTTTTTTTACAGTAATTTGTTTGTAGAAGTTTTGATACATCTATTTGCGGTGGTTGAAGTAGTCAAGCGATTTATAACGTATTTGGTTACATATTGGCTTAATCATTTATTTCCAGTAAACATTCCATAATGGAGAGAGAAGCAGCATACCATTTGTGGTCATTTACTGCAAGCATCACTACGTGGGGCAGGGGGCAGTCAGATCACACGTTAGGGTCCTCCTGCCTCCACAGTGTCTCTTAAAAACCAGGTGTTTTTGTCATCCTGACAGAGTAAAGGAGAACAGTAATCCTGAGGTCTCTGGTTAGTTGTGGCATCTTGAGCAAGCCACTTCAGAAACCTCCTAGGGCCTCCTTTTCCCATTATAAAATAGGGTAGGATTGCTTCCAGCTAATTTTCTGATTTCATAAATTAACTATACATTCTTAGAAAAAGGTAAATAAATCAGAAAAGGATCCAGTTCTAAATATTTCCTAATTAATAATTAAGACCAGCTGGTAGCTGTATACTGCCACTTTATTTTCATGTAAGTTTCTTAATATATGATTATGGGTTAAATGTAGGTAACCACTGAGAACATTTTAATCTAAATCCTGGTGTTAAAGATTTTTAAGAAGCTTTTATGTTTTAAAACATTTTATTTATATACAAATAGTTGTAGGGAAATGGCAGGAAATTTAATTCTGCAACACACACTTACTGAGCACCAGCTGATTACTTTTACATATTGAAGTGTACTGTCTCAGAATTAGGCCCAAAAAGTTTACTTTTATTTGAATTTAAACAATGAAAGCAAGGATCTCTTTTCTCTATTTCATTCTACATATACACAAAACAGCTTCTTAGAAATACGCCTCAGCCCAGGTTTGGGCAGAGCTGACAAGGGTCTCTGCCACGTGCCATGCTGCCTTCAGTGAACAATCTCAGCAGAAAGGGACTCTCAGGGAGCGGGCGCCCTAGAAATCCCTCTTAACAGCAGCAGGCAGGGAAGAAGCAGAGAAAACTCACAGCTGGTGTTAAGAGCTGGATCTATATATTTATGTAAGCTTTTCCTTTTCTGAATTCCAATGTTATTTGCACCTCCATTTAAACTATTTCCCATATCATGTGTTTGTTCATACCATACATTTAAGACATGGTTAAGTAAACAGAGTTAAGAGAAAAAAAGTTAAAGATAAGTAATGAAATATGTTTGGATATGCTTGTTTTAGAACACATGACCAGTGCCAGGTGATCAAAAGAAATTACCTTGAAGAAATGAGGGGGACTCTGTATAAGGTGACACAGGAGACGGTTTACCTATTTGGACCATCAACATCATCACGATATGACTTCTCCCTTATTTTCCATCTGATAACACTTGAAAATCAGATAACATGTGGGTATTTTTTGGATCACTTCTCTCTCTATTTGCCAACAATTTCAGCCATCTGTCAGTGTGTGATTTGCGTGTGTGAGATGCTGGCCTCCAGCCTCCTAGCTCCCATTTTCCACTGCCCATGCTGTCCTCCTTGCCTCTCACTGCTCGTGCTTCTTAGTGACACTGAATAATATAGTGAAAGAATTTCAAAACAATTAGTATCTGACTCTTCTCTTTTTCATCCTCCACATCTCAATTAGCAACATCCTGTCAAGTTTTCCCTTTTGTGACTTTCACATCCCCCTCTTCACCCTATTCCCAGCGTAGTTCTCATTCCTTACCCCAGCCTGGCCCGGATCTCCAAATGTAAATTCTTGGTTCACAGTTGCTCCAACTTGACACCCTGGTGTGACACTAACCTTCCTTCAGCGCCTGCCACCCACACCATTTAAGGACTGCATCGTACTGCTTTCCTTCAGGGATCGTAAACAACACGGAGAAAAGCAAGATCTACCACTTTTGCCTTTCCTGTGCAATTACTAAAATGCTGAGTTCAGAATGTGTCTGAAGTAGTATTTATTGATTGATTTTCGTTTTTTCCTGAAGGTTTCAGACAAGCAGCTGTTGGATTGGAGCGTACAGGTGCATATGTTGTCCCACTGACCCCAGTGGTTAATATGGTTAGTCTTACTAACTAGTTAGTTGTCTTCTTTGACTTTTACCACTTCACTCATCGCTTCAACTATCTCCTTCCAAATGTTCAACAGGAGACTTAAGAAGACTAAAGACTCAAAGAGAATCCAAAGTTTTCAAAAGGACGTTGGACTGAGAGTTCTGACCGATGTTTGATAAACCAGGGGTTTGCAAACTCTTGCCTATGAGCCAAATCCTGCTCACTACCTGATTTGATACAGCCCACAGGCTAAGAAGGGTGTTTACATTTTTCAATGATTGGAAAAGATCAAAAGAAAAATGATATTTTGTGACACATGAAAATTGTATGAAATTCAAACTTCAGGGTTCCTAAATACGTTTATTGGGACAGGGTCATGCTTATCTATTTACATACTGGTGAAGCTGCTTTTGTGCTATAGCAGCAAGCTGAGTAGTTGTAACAGCGACTGTATGTCCACAATCTTAAAATCTTTCTACGTGGCCTTTACAGATGAAAGTGTGTCACTGCATGAAATATGATTATATTGTTGGAAGGAAGTGGAAACAAACAGAATAGGCATTCTTTATTTTTATACATATCAAGATATTCTTCCAGACTTTGAAGTTCAGAATAATTTGAATTCCTTCTCTACACCACGAATTCAGTCTCTGGGCCCTGACCTCTGACAGATTAATTCCCCTAAAATGCTATTTTCATGTCACCACCTTTCTTGACAATTTCAATAACCTTAGGATGATGCCCAAACTTTTCAGCTTGTCATTTGAAAGCTCTTCACAAACATGCCTCGTGCCAGCTTTCCATGTTGTTTTTTATCACTTCTCTTATGAATCACTTTATTCTGGGAAACTTGTCTATTTATTGCCCAAACAAATCTGGGTTAGCTTCGCTTTGGCGTCTTTAAGCGTTCTATTTCTATACCAGAATACTGTTTTTTCCTTCCTTTCCCTATGCATGATCTATTTATCTTCTGAGTTTATCTTAACCTAACTCCTTCAAGAAGCCAATCCTGACACCTTCATTACAGGGACAGCCCTGTCTCTTAGCTTCTAATACTTATTATGTCCATCCCGAGTTAAAAGGCTAACTTACAGTTTCATTAAGACTGGTAAGAACGTTACACTTTCGTCTCTGCTTAGCAAAAAGCTCCTGACAGTTCTGAGTTAAGCCTTCTAATGGGCTCATGTGGGAGGTGCTTGCTGATGCTCTGTGAGCAGAGCAGAGAGGAAATATTCTTGCTCATTAGTCACTCTAAGCCACTGGAGATAAACCTAAGGACTGGGGTTCCTAAGCAGTGTTGGTAGTAAAGCCAAGCAGGACATCTTGGTGGGAAGCCACCACTAGGCAAGCCTACCTCATGTCTCATCCCCAGAATGATGATGCACTGCAGAGGAAGGTGACAAATGACTCCTGGTGAGCAATGCTCTGCTTTGTAACCAACTGCTCAGTAGTAGTTCATTACATGGAGTCCACTTCCATAGCTTTCAGGTGATTCAGAGACTCTTATGTTTTTCTCACTAATTACATAGAAAACATCATAGCCAACTCAAGGGGCTGCTGTGAAGACTATGAGAATATGTCTTCAGAGCGACTAGCACAGCTCCTGGCACAGAGTGGACCTGACGGCTGTGACTATGCCAAAGACAGGTTGTAACTCTATGGCGGAAAGTGCTTGAGTGTGTGAAAAGTTCACTTTTCTTATTTTAGTCCTGAAAAGTGAAAAAAAATGCAAAAGAAAACCAGCAGGAGAAACATCCTTTTAGAAAAGATGGTTTATCAGTTTAATTCTTAGATACAGATGATTACAATGTGATATGCCCAGACAGGACTTCTCTGAGTTTTTAAAAAGGTAATTGTTTTGAAAAGAAAAGGATTGATTTTTATCTTCTCTAAGATTTACTTTTACAATGAAATAAGTAGTGAATTTAATAATACTTCATCCAGGACTCACTAGAATTAGGCGTAGAATAAGATAAACCATAGCCTTCAGAAAAATAAGGCACAGTAGAGAGATAAAATAGAATGCGAAATGAAGATCAATATTTGAGGCTAAAGGATTTATAATACTTCTTATTTAACAACAAAAAAAAAGCTAAGCTGTATTTACTAAGGGCCAGGCATTATTCAAAATGCTTTATAAATACTAATTTACTTAAACATCACGATATCTCATTTTACAGATGAGGAGTCTGATACCCAAAGATGCTAAGTATATTGCCAAAGGTCACATAGCTAATAAGTGGTTGAGCTAAGATTTGAATTTAGGCATTCTGGCTCCAAAGTTCAGGAGTTCCTGTCTCACACGCTATGTTGCCTCTCATCAATTTACTTTGTTTGTTTGTTTTGTTTTCTTTTGCTTATATGTGCCTTATGGTGCTGTCACATTTTCTCTCTACTTTCTGTGCTCTACTGAGAAATGGCATTGGGTTTCAGATGTAGTCAACATGCTGGATATTCCCAAACTTAGGTCTCAAGCATCACTCTGTTTACGACTCACAGCTCTAGCTGCCCATCACATCTCCAACTGCAAGTGCCTTTAACTTAACACGTTTCGAACTAAAATTGTCTTCCTGCCTCATTCTGCTCTTCCTTCTTTATCACGAACTCCGTGGCATAAACAGCTACTCAGGTGCCCCAACTAGAAAGACACAATCTGTCTCA